GCCACGTCACCCCTCCCCAGCAACAACCAACCGCCACAGACAACCATGAATGATCACGACACGACAACACGACCATGCAACAACCATGGCAGAACAAAAGCACACAACGAGACACGACCATTACTGAACAAGCAGGGTCCACGTCGCCGTGAGCAACATCACAACCTACCACGGACGAACCACGACGAGAACACATGACGACGAAGGATGATGAAGATGACCTGGAGGCTGGCACATCAATGGACGTGTCACGTCATCCAGACTGTGACGATGCATGTCGTCGTAACTGCCCACGTCAATTCAGGTGAGCAAGATGGCTCCTCTCCCCACCTTTTCTCATGAGAAGCAGGGGCCACGTCAGCGACGTGGCCCCTGCTTCATCGTAGTCATTTAGTTATTTGTTACTGTCTTTCTATGTGTAGAATACCATTCTCAATGGTCATTTTTTTGAACTATCCTTAAATTTTACAAAAAGAATGTGCAGGGATTGAACTTGCATCGGAATTCTGTTGTAACTCATGAAGTACATGGTCCAGGGGGCTTACCCCCAGCAACTTGAAGCTGTGTGCATGGAGGAATTGTTCTATCTTATCAGAGATCTGACTGTGCCTTTTGTGTAATCTAAGCGAGTATCCAGCTTATATAACGCAAAATAAATCTAAAAGGAGGAAACAAACCCTGATGATCTTGCAAATCTAAGCGAGTATCCAGTATCCCACTTTACCCCACTTTCCTACAGCTCGCAAACACCCACAGGACACACTGCCGCAGCTCAGTGAAGTGTTCTGCAGGTTGCTTGCTTGTGTCGTTGCACGCCGTGTTGATATTGTGAGGTTGGGGTCCTCCCTTCCTCCTCTTCCCTTTTTCTTTTTTCTTTTTCTTTTTCTTTTCTTTTTTAGCCCAAATCTAATCCCTGAGGCGCGTGAATTTCCGTAATTCACCCGCTCGCGCTTCCGGCATGCCTGCCTTGTTCCCCCTCAAACATTGCGGCATGTATGTTCATGTTGTTGTTTCCGCAACACAACATCGTAGCGGCTCCTTGTTTTCACCCCCCAGGTGAAACATTAGTCGCTACTTGAACTCATCGCTGGGCATTCTTGAAATGTCATTCCCTTCCTGACATTTCTTGATCCCCAGGTGAGTAAACACATCTCCGTGTTCGCACTCCCCCTTCCTGACATTTCTTGATCCACAGGCAGTCAGTACGGTCTCGTGCGTCTTTATCTGTTGTACCTCCCATCGCCCAACAAAGTTGTCATCCTCATTTTATATGACGGATCTGGATCTTCAGACAGATCAAACACTCTCCACTTCCAACGACCAAACCTCCTCTGAGCCCCCCCCGCAAGCAGACTCCACTCAGCCATCTGCATTGCTCCCGGTAGAAGCTGTTGAGGAGTGTGAGAAGTGTGTGGAGGAATACCGTGCTGGCACAGCAGACAAAGTCCTTGTTTTCCTGCGCCTCCAGACCATCATCAGTCGTTATGCCACTGATGATCAAGCCAGACCTACTATCCAGGCTCTCAAGTCCTACCTCGCAATGCTTGACAACCATGACCGACTTCGGGAGGGAGCAGTGGAAAGAGGTCGACTCTCTGCTGAGTCGGATTCAGCTAGACGACACACCGAACCTGGTGAAGCCGAGCCTGGCATCTCGCCTCAGGGAGAACTCTCTCCCCAGGACAAGGTTGAGGACACGTCCAAGCGCCCTCGATCTCCTGGACCGGATGACAGGCCCGATTCCCCCTCTTCCAAACGGCACATCGACCCCTCGCGGTTCCCCTGGGTCATCCAGGAGGAAGTTGATCCGGCCCCGCTCTCACTCGAGCTCAGACAGACACAGACCTGTCTTGAGAACTTCGCCAGGGATCCGAAATTTGCGAAGTCGTCCCTACTCAATTCAGCTCGATGCCCCCAGTTCCCCGATGGGGAATGGACCAACATCATCCTTGGACGGGTTGTTGACCTCGACCACGTCCTCTCTGGAATCTATGCTGTGGGAGCCGACGACCGCAAACGAGAAAAGGTTGGAACCCTTGAATTCGTCGTCGGCTCCTGCACTCCTGCTAAGACTGTCCGATCCCATTCTGACTGGACCATCGCCTGGGATGGATATGTCGAGGCCTTACTCTTTGTCTTCCCTCACCGCAACTCTGAACTCATCGCATATGCGAAGTTCATCCGCCAGCTCTTCACCTCCATGCCCCCAGAGCGCCATGGACGCGTCCTTCATTTTGATAAGGCCGTTCGACTATGCGTCTCTCAACGACGGGACTTACTGCTTACGGACCACGCTAATTTCACCAACCTCAGCCTGCTCTGGCTCCAAAATGGTGGTGGATCATCCGGGCTACCTAGAAATGAAACCACCAGATCCTCCCGTCGTCCCTCTTCCTCGTCCAAGCCCAGACGCGAAGCTTGTCGGCGCTTCAACGCTGGCACCTGCCCCAACTCTCAGTCCTCGTGCGACTACGCTCACATTTGCTCAAAATGTCGCGGGACGGGCCACATCGCCTCTGCCTGTGGGAAGTGATGTCAGGGTTTCATGGTGCATCATTTCTGGTGGGGTGGCGATGGCGCTCTTGAACCACACCTCACCTTGGCCATGGCATCCGAAATACTCCCCCCTTTGCCTTCTGTCCCAGATCACGAATGTAATAATCAGATCCTCCAGGATTCCATTGAGTCTAACCCCCACCTTTTCCATATCATCACCCCCATTCGCGCAACTGTCCTCGAATCCCTCCTGGTGCATCATCCAAACCCCGACTTTGTCTCCTCAGTAGTTCGTGGTTTCTCTGAGGGTTTTTGGCCATGGGCAGATACTGCGAGCACCTGCCTGCCTTTCAAGCTGGACGCGAAGGAATACCTCTCGGACCCTGCCCACATCCATTTCGCTGAGGAACAACGTCAATCTGAGATCACTAAAGGTCGATTTTCTGAGTCCTTCCCCTCCCTCCTCCCATGCATGCTCTCCATACCAGCCACCGTTGCCACCAAAAATCGCTCTGACAAACTCCATCTTTGTGTCAACCACAGCGCCCAGCCTTTCCCGCTAAACGACCTCATTGACAAGAAGGTTGTTTCTGTGCCCCTAGATGGCCTGCAGCAGTTCGGGCAGAGTTTGCTTGACTATCGCAGGGTCATTGGCTTTGACGTTCCCATTGTGGCTTTCAAGTCAGACGCGAAGGACGCCCATCGCCTTTGCCCTTTAGCAAAGGAATGGCAGTCAAAGCAGGTGGTCAAAATCAACGGGTCCTACAATGTAGACCATTGTTGCAACTTTGGGAGCTGTGCTTCGGGAGGCATCTGGGGGAGTTTCTTCTCCCTTGTCCTGTGGATCGCTATCGCTTTACGTGAGCTCCTCGACCTCTTTGCTTACTGTGATGATGTCTTCTCCTTTGAGCTGGAGTCCGATGTCCTCTGGTATGAGCCTTACCAGAGGTTCATGCCCTCGAAGCAGGCCCATCTCCTCGAACTTTGGGATGAGATTGGCATCCCTCATGATGACGCAAAGCAGGTTTCGGGCCCCATCCTCACCATCATCGGCTTTGATGTCGATGTCAACAGGATGTCCATCTCCATGCCCCCAGATGCCCGCCTTGATCTCATCTTTGCTATCCGTGAATTCGCTGTCCGTAACCGGCACCCAAAACTCGCTGACCTCCAGCAAATGGCTGGCTGGATCAACTGGTCCCTGAATGTCTTCCCCCTCCTCCGGCCCTGTCTGAGTGCCCTTTATGCGAAGATGAGCAACAAGAAGAGACCGTCAGCAGAGCTCTATTTGAACACCCAGATCTGCCGCGAACTTCTGTGGGCAGCAAATCATTTGGAATCTTGTGAAGGAGTCTTCCTTCTCAGGTCCCTGGATTGGGATGCTCCCGATGCTGATTACTTCCTCCTTTCTGATGCGTGCCTTTTTGGCTTGGGTTTCTGGTCACCACGCCACGGCCTCGGCTTTCAGGCCTCGGTCCCCACCTTCACATCCCGCACCATCTTCTATTGGGAGGCTTATGCAGTCCTCTCAGCCTTCGACTGGATCCTGCATTTTACGCGCCCTCCCCCTCGCCGTGTCGTCATCTACACTGATAACTCCAACACAGTTGATCTCTTCCGCACTCTGCGTGCTACTCCAGACCTCAACCCCATCGTCCTGACAGCTGCAGACCTCATGATGCGCTTCAACTGTCAGCTTCAGGTAATTCACATTGCAGGAGAACAGAATGACATCGCTGACTGCATCTCTCGCTACCATAACTCACATGCAGTTGCATTGGCTCGCATGCGCAACACCAACCTCTACATCGAGGATTTTACACCCCCTCAATTGACGCTGGGGGCTGTTCTATCATGAACTTCTCCCTTTCTGGCTCCAGGCAGCCTCCGCGGATTGCCTGGAGCCTGGAGCGCCTTCAACATGAACGCGCCATTGCCCTTGGTTTTGCCCTTGAGCCTGCTTCCATTGCTTCCTACACCTCTGCCCTCCATTCATACATCAACTTCTGCAACATGCACCACTTCCCCATTGAACCAAACCCAGACACCCTCAGTTTTTTCATCGTTTATATGTGCCACCACATAAAACCTTCCTCCGTCAAGTCTTACCTCTCAGGGATCTGCAACCAACTCGAAACGTTCTATCCCTCTGTCCGCAACACACGCCGCTCAAACATAGTCTCGTGCACACTCACTGGGTGCACCAAGCTCCGTGCCTCCCCCACCTTACGCAAACGTGCTATTTCCCATGATGAGATCCTCACTGTCTCCTTGCGTCTCTCCTCTACCACCAATCATGACACATGCCTCTTCCTCGCCATTGCATGTGTCTCCTTCTTTGGCCTTATGCGTATTGGCGAGAACGTCTGGCCTGACAACCCCGCTCTCCGTGATTACCGCAAAGTGATCAAACACTCCTCCGTCTCCATTACCACTGACTGCTTCTCCTTCCTCCTACCCTCTCACAAGGCCGACTGTTTATTCCAAGGCAACAAGATCCTTATCCACTCCTCCACAGCAGGTCCCACCACCATTTCCTCTTTCACCTCCTACATTCTCTCTCAAGATCGCTTATTCCCCTTTAACCCTGAACTTTGGCTTCGCGCAAATGGTTCCATACCAACTCATCGCTGGTTTCTGTCTCTGTCCCATTCTCACTTTGGTCCTGAAACTGCAGGTCACTCCTTCCGACCAGGCGACGCTACTTTCCATGCAATAAATGGCACCCCCTCCAACGTCATTCAAGGAATGGGCTGTTGGAAATCTGAGGCCTTCCAGTCTTACATCCGTGTACACCCTTCCCTACTTGCCGCCTTCATTTTCTCTTCAAACAGCAATTCCCTTCATTCCTCCCTCCCTCATTAACTCCCCCCCTTCATTTTTCTTACCATCCACCTTCTCCTCCACCCTCTCCTTCTTCGCTCCATTTTTCAACGCTTTTCTTCCATAGTATCTTACGTACCCAGAAAAATGAGAATCGTTTAGCAGGCCCTGCCACTGGTCACAGGGCAGGAGCCGTGCAACCCTACACTTCGGAATGACTGCCTGAGCAAAGCCTTAAGGGATTAGTTGGATTTAAAAACTTGTGTTTACACAAATCTAATCCCTGAGGCACGTGAATTTCCGTAATTCACCCGCTCGCGCTTCCGGCATGCCTGCCTTGTTCCCCCTCAAACATTGTGGCATGTACGTTCATGTTGTTGTTTCCGCAACACAACATCGTAGCGGCTCCTTGTTTTCACCCCCCAGGTGAAACATTAGTCGCTACTTGAACTCATCGCTGGGCATTCTCGAAATGTCATTCCCTTCCTGACATTTCTTGATCCACAGGCAGTCAGTATGGTCTCGCGCGTCTCCTGCCCACCATCCCTTCAGCTTTGGTATCTTCATAAGAGCTCTCTTCAGCATATGACATCATCACGCCCTCAAAACCCGTAACTTTGGGACTTGATTGCGGCTATGAGGTCATCCATGCCCTTCATTTGCAGCAAGTTGCCGGTTATGACGCCATCATCTCTGGTCCTTGGAGGCGTGGGTTCGAATCCCTCTCATCACCAGAACTTAAGTACTTTCCTTCCTTTTTTCTTTGCGTAACTACATGTTGCTTGTAACGTAACGTACCCAGAAAATGAGAATCGTTTAGCAGGCCCTGCCGCTGGTCACAGGGCAGGAGCCGTGCAACCCTACACTTCGGAATGACTGCCTGAGCAAAGCCTTAAGGGGTTAGTAGCCTACAAACACCGGTATCTGGCCGAGAATATTCTCCTGAGAATAATCACCTGATGACCGCAATTGGCCGGTGGTGGAAGTTGTTGTTCAATACTAGTAAACAAAGTCAATAAGAACATAGTTCACCCTCTGTACCCCGGGGGAAGAAGCTTGAAACTATCAGAAATGCACTTTACGCAACTAAGCATAGTTTTAAGTCAATCTACATTAAAATTATGAGTACCGGTGTCCTGAGGAACAGAAAAATGCGAAATTTCGGAAGAGAACCTCCTATCAAGGTGTCACAACATGTCACTTTCTGTGACCATTTATTGTCGCGTCACGTCGCGTTCTCCGCTTTTGCCACTTCAAAAGGATCTACACTAAACCATGGATATAAAGTCCACAGCCGAAGCTCTGCTCAAGTTTCCAAGTCTTTACAAACTTGGTTTCCACATGATTCCTCGCTTTTTCCGACTGGCACAACTTGCTCGACCATATGTTGAGTCTCAGATGCAAGACAAGCGTGCTCCTCCAACTACACTTCCCCCAAAGATTGTCAAAGTATTTATGGGGGCTATGGATCAAGAAGATAGTTCTGCAATTGAAGCTCTCTGGTCTACCTTCAGATATTCAATCTGGGGAGTGCTAAGTGCAATTGAAGCCAAGGAGGAAGATATCACTATATACAATAAATTTTCTCTGACTCTTGGAACTTGTGAGTACTCTAAAATTGCTTACAACTGACAAAATTACTCTAACTTTGTGAAACAGCGTACCGCCATCTGTATCCACCTGTCCGATCATGCCAAGATGCTTTCTGTGTCAATCGTTGAGAAGTGGATTCAGACATCTTGACACTTGGGGAGCCTGTCACCCACCAGGCAACCCTATTCACATTAACGAGTGGTGCTCTCCCCATCTACACTACTTCTCTTTATTGCCGCAGTATGTTATAATCTCTCAATGCAAAATTTACTTCCATTAATCTGCTGCAAATAGAATGTAAACGCCGATATCACCATAACTACATTGTCCACAACTCTTCAAATACACGCACCTACTATGGTGACGTACCTGATGTGATACAGGTTGCCCAACATTTCTTCATTGAGAGCTCCTTGCTTGAGTTTTTTGCAAATACGAAAGTTTTCGGTTGGTAAGTTGTCTAGCTTCTATGATGATACAGGTTCTCAATTGGATGTTCTGTAGGTTATCATCATCAAATTGTGCACGAATATACAACACCTCTTTATGTGTTCCCCATGCCCACATTCTCAACAACAAACTTGCCTTTCAGTCCAATTATCACAGATACGAGAAAGCAAATGTTGATTGGCAGACTTCACTGTCACTTCAAGATGTGGATGTACTCAACGGGTTTTTCCTATATTCTCTTCTACTTGAGAAAGCAGAAAGACGAACTATTCTGCAACTTCCCCATAACGAGAGCTCACAAAAGGATCGCCTTGCCCCTGCACTCCAGGAGCGCAATCATCTCATAGAGGGTATCGGACAAGAGCAATATCCCCATGCCTGCAATCTGTGCTTCATTGTCTTCCAGGACAAAAGTGGGAAGCTGAGTCAGTTCTTACTTATTTTTGCGAGCTCTGATGGACTCAATAAGTTTACAGTGAAAATGCAGGCAGCTGTTTGTGATGGTGATATGATCGGCCACCCCTGCTGTGCAGTGCATGACTGTAAAGACACTCTTGTGAACCACAGAAATCGCTTCTGTGCTCAGCACAACCACCTGAACTTCCAGTGCGCAGTAGTTGATTGTGTCACAGCATCTGAGGTCGGCTTCAAGACCTGTACCGATCCCGAGCATCGTGTGCTTGAGGAGGCGTACTTTCGACGTGGAAAGGCCATATTTCAGTTACGCGCAAAACTCAAAAAGCAGGAGCTATATCTGCTGTAAATTCAATACTGTTGGACCTGGACACTGGCGAAGGCGATGACGAGGTTATCATTGAAGCAACAATGGAGGAAGACAACATGAGTTGTGGTGAAAAACCAGAAACCGGAAACCGCAAACTACGAGCCATGTTTGGAAGGCGACGAACACATAATGAACAGTTGATTATGCGCCCTTGTGGCATCATTCTCTTGCGAGCGACATTCTTTGGATCAGAAGCTATATCTGCTGTCAATGTATGCCACTTTTTCCCCTTCCCATGCCAGGTGTTTCGGTACTAACCCCATTCCTTAGACATTTGTGAAGGCTACGTTTCCGACACCTGAATCTACTCCTGAGTACTTCATCTTTGACAACAACTGCAAGTTGGTCGCACATCAACGTGTAATAGGTGACAGGCATTTCAAAGACACAGCCATGCCTGTCGATGTCTTCCATTTCAACACCAAACACAAGGAGTCCGACCTCCATTGTCAAACACATTGCAATCCTGCAGCATTTCCGGAGCTTATCGATGCAAACAACAAGTGGAAATTTAATACTTCCATTTGCGAGCAAACCAATGTATGGCTTGGGGGGTATCAGGCAATTCTTCGTGATATGGAGGTGACACGTTTTAATTTCTACCTTGATGAGATGATCAAACACAGAAATCGATATACCATTTTGCAGTTACATTCAAAGGGACACCATCCATGGCATGTTCCGGTGAAGGCATGGTTTCCTGACTGCTAGTACTGGATGTACATTTTTGTAATGAATGAGTTATGGTTAAACAAACAAGTAATTTTTATCAGTAACTAAAATGGTACGAGGCCCAGGCTAGTACAGAGGTAATTGCAAACATGGCTTTTCGTGAAGTTGTCTAGTGCTACCTGGCCACCATTGCCAAGGTAATTATGTCCGTCGCGATCATGTTCACTGTCAAAGTAATGGTCAGAAGAATGTAAGGGACTATAGCGATGACATACCTGGCATGGGTCTGGCAGTCAACAACGTACACCTGGCTAGGGAGGGTCCATATACCTTAATCCATGATGAGCTATTATTTGATGCAACGAAGTCAAAGAAAGAGCTTACAGTTGAAATCAACATGTAACAGAACACCGTCGGTGGAGTGAAACACGAAATGACTAAATGCAATGAGCGCGTCATAGGCTTGGGGATGATTGAACGCAGCCTCCCCACCACTGCTGTACCGAACACCTGTCTTCCATAGTTGGGCTACCACACACCACACATCCCCCGAAGTGAAGAGATAGGTGGGTAAGACATCAAAGTCTATATATCGAAGTGAGAGGCCAGCCAGTGGATTAGTACATGAGAACCAACATACCCTTCTTCGTCAATCCGACTCTAGTTGCTAGACTTAAATGGAATTTCTTCGCAAGGAGTCTGCACCGCTCCATCCTCGCACCTGCATGCCATACAGCATGCAACTTACTCCCAGACTGGCTCCACCATTGGCCAGGTAAGTGGATGCTCTTGATGGCGAAGGTTGTCATCTCCGTTCCAAGGGTGGGATGATCGCCAACCATCTAAAAGATGATAGGACTCAGTTGAGACTCGCTAGGACTACCTCCCAACATACCTGTCGTATCGTCTTGCGAGAACCACTCATACAGTCCCTGTACAAGTATATCATGGATACTTCTTTGCCAGTAGACCTCGTCTCCAAACCATCAGGTCCTTCCTCGTACCACTCCATTTGTACAGATCTGATTGTCCAGTCATCATCGTCACCCGCCACCGAAGCAGCAGAGGACACAGGTGGGTCAGGGGTTGAATCAGCTGCAGGCAGCGTGACGAGTGGGGTGTGGAGTGGAGAAGTTGGCTCCACAAGGGGGAGGGACAATGCAGGTGCAGAGATTGTGGCAGGTACTGTAGTGTATGTTACATTAGCTCTTGAACAAGATTGAAGGCGAACGACGTACACTTTGAAAGCTCCACCACTAGATTTACCCACAAGCCTTCATCCGTGTGACCATAATTGATATATGTCTGAAGGATGTCGAGCTTCTTTGCCTGCTTGAAGTGCCTTCTGTGCCGGTAATATGTCGATTGCACATACTTGCAGGTCGGAAAGTGGATCGCGAAGGCATTGCGGATGTCGTCGTCATTGTGAAAGTTTCCCATGAGATCCAAACCCTTTGCCATATCGACCATGTATGCAAGGGGGAACGTCTCGTGAGGGACAGTTTTGCTGGGGATGGTGACTGATACTCGATGACGACACGGCAGGGGCAAGGGTCCCAGTGGAATGCAAAGAAAAGGAGAGTGGGGGCACAGAGGTTGCCCGGGCAGGTACATGAGTGGCGACAGCGTCGGTTGAAGTCCCACCTATAAAATAGGACAACTCTTCATCAATGCCAGAGCAATCCTCGTCTTTGAAAAAAGGCCTTCGCATGAGAATGCGAGAGCTTGAGGGAGCTAAGATAGGGCAGGTGACATCTTGCATCAACCATTCCACAGGCCGGGAAGAGGAAGGGAGTCGGGTGAGCACTTCAATCGATGTAGAGTGGCTGATACACTCCATGAAGATGGTGTGTGCACTAGGCACTAGGGTCCCTGGGCGAGAGTTGACGAGATTGAAGCGAACGGGACTCTCGCCGCACTACGTGACTAGTATGAGTGCAGATAGAGTAAATTATAAATGAAACATACCCGATTCCACAGTATTACTTGCATCCTGTTCTTCAAATCGTCAGCTGCCTGTCGGTCATCCGCGATCTTTTTGTTTGACTCATTTCGCCGGATGTGGTCGTCAAGAAGTGGCCTCACATAGTCGTCGCGCAATGGGCGAGCATAAGTGCGAGTAGTCACTGGTGTTGCAGTTAGTAATTTGAGACAGTGAATCAATTCAGAACGTACCATTAGCAACGGTGGCGGGAACAACAGAAATGGGCTGTGAAGAGGAGAGTTGCGAAGAGGGGGACTGCGAGGAGGGGGGCTGTGAAGAGGAGAGTTCCAAAGAAAGGGGCTGCGAAGAGGGGGGCTGTGAGGCAGGGGGCTGTGAAGAGACCAGACGATCCTTCTGCCCATGTACCCTACACCCTCCTAGATTTCGGCAACACGGTGCACAATGTTGGGGGAACTTTTCAGTCCACATTTGCCTGCCGCGTGCACTTGTCCCTGCCGCACGTAAGTCCTTCTCTCATTGCCGAGACAGACTCTCGATAGACGAAATGTAGTCGAACGGCTTCGGGGATCTTGTCCTCAGGTGTCCGCTCGTCATGCCAAAAGAAACCCGGGCAGCCAGGAGCGGTGCACTAGAAGGTGAGTGTTAGTATCTCATAAGGATGTCGCAACATGCATGGCCATACCTTTTGAAAATAGCGGCCCCAGTTCGTTATGACCGTTGGGTGTTCACAAAGTGTGAGTTTCCCCAGAGTTGGTCGCCCACAATCTTTTTCAGGGCACTGAGCCCGTGGTGTTGGTCGGAGGTTGATATTCGGCCGTGGCAAGTTCTCAGCCATCAGGATGGGCCTATCGAATGGGTAAGTGAGTCAAAATTGAAGGAAAGCATGTACATACCAAGCAGCAAGCAGTCGTTGAAAAATTTGAGGTTCCCATCCTTTATGAGGTGGGTTGTATTGAAAATTTACAGGTTATGGTTTGAGCCACTCGGGAGTCGGCATGGCATGCTTGAGGATCGAGAGCAGGTAGAAGGAAGAAAAATAAACCCCAGGTCAGTGGACAGTGTTGTACTGACCCATCTGGCTAGCCCATGGTCCTACCCTCCGAGTCCTAGTACTCACTGGCGTTGCTCACAGCCAGATGAGTAACGGAAAACATTCGGGTGCCTCAGGCGCATAGAGAAAGAAGGTGTTGTCAATCGAGCTCAGCGTCATCGATCGAGTTCGTCTCCATGGTGTCGACGTGGTGTAGTGTGGGTTATTTGGCATTGGAGTGTTCGGGGTAAGCTGAGTGTGAGCATGATTCTCAGATTCTCAGAGCCCCAGCGGGTTCAATGTTCTGCTCTATGGAGCAGGCCACTATCAGAGAAATCCGTGAAATGCACTGGTACAGTTGGGTCGTGAGAGAAAGCACGTGCATTCCAAATTAGAGTCCGAAACGCGATAACAAGTCACTAGCACTATTCATCTATCTGATCTTCCCTCTGTCTTTTTTTCCCCACACCTGCAGAGCTCATCGTCTCTGACCGCCCTCGCTTTTCGGTGGGCCTGACGAAAAGCTGGGTCCCTTCGTACTCTGATCCTCCGATGTCGCTACTGCCCAGAAAACCCAACTCATCCGGACTCGACGCTGTAACTGCGGTCTCAATACCCATGAGAGCCTCCTCTGCCTTCATTATAAACATCGCCAGCATGAGGTTAGCAGGGACAAAGGGTAGTTTCATTCTCAACCTGGGCATGAAATAGTAGTCAGTAATTATTATCAAAAAAGTTGCAAGAAAATATTTGACACATACCTGAGGACTGTATGGGACGACTTCTCAGTTCTTCTTGAGTGCAGCGCTATTGCACTTAGAATTATGCCTATGTGTTTGTATGCACTGAGGGTGGCCAGTCTTTGTCAAAGTGATCACCTCCTGGCACAGATCACATTCAACTTGGTGAATTCCGGTGTTGGCATCTATTGTGGTTGTCAGATAAATGCCATCTTTCATTCGGATAGTAACTGGGTGGGTAACTTCAAGTAGTTGCACTCAGGGCATTTTATCTGCAGAGCTCACAGAAAGCCATAGGTTTTATACTCAAAAATGCTTGTTAATATCGGTAATAAGATCTACTCTGGCGCAGCTGAAATATGTAGTTGGATAATTTGAAGCTATGAAACACAGCAAAGTGCAGTGCAGGCAAGTGCAATGCGCAGTGCACTGACAATCTTATCATTTTACTGAGGAGCTGCCATTCACAATGCACATGCTTTCTCTCATGACCCAACTGTACCAGTGCATTTCATGGATTTCTCTGATGGTGGCCCCCTGCTATGGAGTCATGGCATTCCTTCACAATGGATGACGATGCTATGGCTGTCAACACAGATGTCCCAAAAACTCCCCCTTCCTCTCATTACTCCTCGCTTCGTTCCATCGCCGTCGGACCACGACCCCTGCTCCTGCTGCCGCAGGATCAACGGGATGCGCTCAACAAGACGATGGCCTACTTTTCGCATGTGAGAAAGTGGCAGAGTCGCACTGTCAATGCTGGGAATGACACATCCAAGTCGCGGCTCTTTTTTTCAGGGGTTTTGATAGACCTCATCAACAGATTAAAGTCCACATCTTTGAAATCAAACACTATCGCCCCTTCTCCGATGCAAGCAGGTGAACTTATGGAGAACTTGAAGGACAAGGAATTCGAGGAATGGAAGTGTGGATTTGAAAAAGGCGTAAATTATGGAGATTGGTCGGAACTGGCTTCTCATTGTACATCCTAGAACGAATCTGAAGGTCTGACGCAAGTAACTGGTTGCTTTCACAGCGATACTTAGGAAACCTCCCAATGACCCTGGGCATGCACTCCTTTTTCATTAGTCTATTCAGATGCTGACACATGTGCTCTTAGGCTTATCATATTTCCAAGTACAGCTATACTTCGGCTTGCATTGAGTGTCTCACAAATCTTTGGCAGGACTCACAAAGGCCTACGGGACGCCCTCTATTGGAGATACTGCTGTTGATTTCGTCAAATATCTTGAAAGGATTGATGATGAGGAGCGGACCAATGTGACGCACATCTTTGCTAAAGTGGTTCCCATGGTTCAGAGTTCCGGAACAGGGAAATCGTGTATGTTGACAGAGGTGTGCTCGGTTTCCTTACTGTCATGTCATGCTACAATGTTTTTTTTTTCTAGGCTGGTAGACGAATATTTACGCTTCCAATCTGCCTTCGCAAGTCAGGTGATTTGGGTTATCCACCTGGCGATCTGGAAGTTGTCAAATACTTTGCCACCTTGTCCAAGGTTGACCACTTGAGCTTCACCACCCATAGCATCATCGCTTGCTTCATTGCTGCTGCACACACAACTATGCTTGAGTGGCTGAAGAGAATGCAAGCAGAGAATAATCTTGATGGACTACAGTTACATACACATTGGCACAAAGTCATGGAGCCACCGGGGGCGCAGGACGAGTGGGAACATTTTTTTGCAGAAGTGGTCAGCTGAGCTATTTCCACAAGTCAATTCCTTTTCATCATACTCTCATGTGCTCAGTATTTGACAGTTTAAAGCAAAGGCGGAAATACCTCACGACCCCACTGTAATTGCTGAGGGGCTCTACAAAACCATCGTCAAGAAAGCCACTGCAAACTTGATGGGTTTTCTTAATACTATCTACACTCGAGCTTTGAGTGTGACCTACTTTGATGAAGCCCACAAGTTGGGTTCATGTTTGTGGGTCTTCTTACATCTCTTGTCCATTCAAGAATCGTCAATAAGACTGTGGTATGTCTTCATGGGAACGAAATTGAGCTTTCCCCATAATGCTCCTCGTCCGTCCAACCGTCAGCCCTCCTTTTTCACCCTTGGATACACATGGCTAATGGAGAAAGCAGTGCATTCTTTACGACATAGGCTGGAATTGGCTCAACTGCTGCCGCCCTATATCGTGCTCAGCTTTGACCAGCGAGTGATTGCGAAGAATCAGGCAGCAGTGTCTGTCAGCATGGGTCATCTCCAAACCATCGAGCATCTCGCCCAATGTGGACGGCCCTTGTACGTGATTCTCATTGCTCAAAGACACATGCTCATGTTTCAACCAGGTGGAGTGCACTGCTACCAGAAGCAAAACACAACGAGATGGTCAGCTTTGCCTCCTTGAAGCTGACAAATGGCGTGAGTTTCGATTCAATGAATAAGGACCATGTCTTTGCTGTGCTCTCGCAGCTTATCTGTCTTGATCTGGTACTGACTGGCTCAGAAGCTGTACAACTCACTGATCACAGTGTCACGCATCACATGAGACTCCTCACCGGCTTCTCAGCTAACAATGAAATATCCCACACAAGCTCGCCATCGGAGCCCATCCTTGTGCAGGGCAGTATTGATCTCTTGTACAACACCTCGGAGACGAATCGCTTGGCGCATGTCCTGGATACCCTGAGCAATGACCTATGCAGTCGAGAACTCATCAAAAAAGGTGCTTTGGGTGAGCTTGGTGCCCGCATACTTCTCCTTATTGCCCGCCATTTCACCACTCCTTGTCGGGATCTTCTGGAACCTGTTCGCCTTCTGGATTTTCTCTGCACACTCTTTGGCAGCAACCTTTGGGCCGGTCAAAATCACCAAAAGTTTAATGCAGGACTTGATAGTGCGTATGTCAATTTTACGCATTGGATTGTGACAAAGGACCTGATGCCTGAGGTGTCGAATTTGTGAGTAGAGCATAGTAAACGTGCATGTGCCTGCTGATTTGGGCCCTTTCAGAGAATTAATTGCAAACTTGTGGGCTCGTGGCGCAGCATTGCAATGTTGCTTTAATCAAGAATCGGTCAACTTTTTAGTCCCCATCTATGTTGGTTCTGTCACTGTTAGGATAAGACCGTTAGTGGTAGCTCAGACGGTTACACGTAGTGGTAAACGACTGTATTGTCAATCTCTACCTGTTAGGATAAGACCGTTAGTGGTAGCTAAGGTAGAGATAGTAAGTAAAGTATCGGAAGATATATAAGTAAAAGAATACACACCTCAGACGGTTACACGTAGTGGTAAACGACTGAGGTGCGAGGTATGGAAGTAGCGAGAAAATTGTAAGTACGGAAGTAAACGAAGGAGTTGGTAAATAGAGATAAAGAGCGTACGTAGCGTAGGGTTCTAATCCTCAACACTCCCCCTGAAACTGTAGCTCCTAAATATCGATGTATTCCATTCCCATAAGTTTGATGAGGTATTCCAGCGTTGGTCGAGAAAGTGATTTTGTAAAGATATCAGCGACGTTTTGAGTTGTATCGATCGGGACAACAATGATGTCTTCAAGGTTGACGGCCTCACGGATCCAGTGGGTCTTGACATTGACGTGCTTTATTTTGGTATGACCTCCAAAGTTTTTGGTGAGAGCGACGGCGGCGTCGTTATCGCAGTAGACGGTGATGGGGAGATCGAAGAATTGGTCAACTTCGAAGAACCAAGCACTTATCCATTTTGCTTGTTTCCCAGCCTCGAAAACGCCCACATATTCAGCTTCTCCAGTCGAGGTGCTGACACGCCTTTGAGTTTTTGCTTTCCAGCTAACTGGGCCTCCAGAGGATATAAAAACGAACCCAGCAGATGATTTTCGGCTGTCGGATTCATCCGCATAGGAAGAGTCGGAATAGCCGAAGGGTTTGATAACCCCGTCCTTTCGGTACGTGATAACGAGGTTGCTGGTTGTTTTCAGGTAAGCGAGGAGGTGTTGAACAAGCTTCCAATGCATAGGGCGAGGATCAGATGCGTAGCGCATCAGTACCATGACAGAGAATGCGATGTCGGGCCGTGTACCATTCGCAACGTGGTTTAGCATCCCTAATGCGCTTCTATAATCCTTATCGCGCATGAATTCGGAGTCGTGAGGAGGGATGGGCATAGGCTGAGATTCGACGAGGGTAACGCCCGGAGGGAGAGGGGTATACTTTGGATTAGCGTTCTCCATTCCGAATGTAACTAAAGCCTTCGTGATAAGCGGTTTTTGATGGATAGATATGTCGCCAGAGGCATGGTTTACGATCGACATGCCAAGTACTTTGTTAGGAGTGCCTAAATCGGTGATTTCGAATTTTGCCGCGAGTTCTCATTTTGCTCGATCCATTGCGTCAACTGAAGAAGATCCTGCAGATACGTCATCGGTGTAAGTCGACGAGATGGTATACCCTTCAGTAGTATGTTGAATGCGTATGCAAGGGTCTGCTCGAGACTGGCGGTGACCGAGTTCGGTGAATGTTTTGTTGAGTAGACGAAACCAGTTGTTGGCGCCGTCCATGGTGCCGTATATAGTAAAGTTCATGATAAGAACAGTGTCGATATTGGGGATTTTGTAATGATTTTCGAAGCCCTGGGGAATTTCGAGGTAATTGGTTCCCTGGGGTTTGGAGTTAAGGTACGCCCCAACGAAGTCGATAAGCCAAAAATGGAGCTTCAAACTCGCAATGAGCGCAAACAACATTCGGACTGATTCGTACCTGGCCACTGCGGCAAAGGACTCATAGTAATTCTCCCCAAGCCTCTGAGAAAAACCTTTTACTACCCCACGGGCACGACGTCTAATGAGGCTCCCTAGGCCATCGACCTTCAAGTCATAGACCCACTTTCCTTTGATGGTTTTTACACCAGGGGGATGAGGAACTGCCGTTACGACGCCACGCTCATCCCATTGAGCAATTTCTCTCTCCATGGCTGGGAACCATAGATGACGTCGGGACAAATTGAACGCGTCGTCAAATGTCACCGGGACGAATCGATTTTGTGGTTCCGGGGGGAATTCGGCATTTAGCGCGGTGTGTGTGGAGTCGTCATCTTCATCAGGATCTTCCAAAATTGGAATTGAAGCGTCATCGTCAGTTTCAGCTGGTGGAGGGTTATTTTTCGCAGCAATTCTTGCTGATTGACGTGATGCAGGGGGATAGACAATTCTGGGACGTGTTTGAGGATGGTTGAGAGTATCCGGAATGATTGGGTTGCCAGGAACAGCGGGGACTGTGATAGGTTTTTCAGTGACTATGGGTTCTACAAGGAAGTCGTAGTCAGTATCGCCGTTGTCCTGGTGGAAGTACTCCCGCTCAGTCGTGAGGGTACGGTGTCCAAGACCTTCCTCAAATTTGACGTTTCGGGAACGGATGATTTGGCCGGTCTCCGGGATCAAGATCCTGTAAACGCCTCAGCCCTCAATTCCGATCAATCTGCCCTTTTGCCCCCGTGCGGCTAATTTGCTTCCGCCCTTCTCAAAGGGGATGTGCACATATGCGATACAACCCCAGACCCTTATGTGTCCCACATCTTGTCTCTTTCCTGTCCATCCCTCTTCAGGGATCACACCTGGGTGTCGACTGGACGGCAACCTATTCTCCACATAATCCGCGAATGCCCATGCCTCGGCCCACCATTTTGCCGACAATCCAGCATCCAAGAGCATGATTCGTACGGCGCCAGTCGTCACTCCAATAGAGTGTTCCGCAGTACCATTCGAGGAGGAGGAATAGGGGGGGGTTGGTAGCATGATGAGTCCAGTCTCACGAAAGTATTCGGCCCATAGCTTGCCTTTGAATTCCGGTGCGTTATCGACTCTGATGAAAACCATTAGCTTTTCAGTGACCTTTTCACTTTCGCTTCGATAGGTTTTCAAGGCGGTCAAGGTTGTCTCGTCTTGGCGGTTGGCGAGGAAGAATGTTTTACGGTGAGCGGATCCACTATCATGGAATTTCATTCCGTATAACGATCCACCATGAGATTTGACACGAGATGGCCCCCAGATGTCGATGTTGGTGAGTCTTAAGATCCTATTTTTGATTTGGACATCGTCGTCATATGGTCGACGTTTCTGATTCCCCAAGATACAGTCTTCACATTGTCCAATAGCGTCCTCAGAAGTAACTTCGAGGCCGTCGACAAGCTTTAATGCTTGTTTCACGCGAGTGACTCCGAAATGAGCGAATCGGCGATGCCAGGTAGCGAGGTCAGTAGGACTCTGAAGGGATTGGGCTGTGAGGGCAGTCGGTATAGCCAGTGAGAAGGATCCGTTGACAAGGTACAGTCCATTCTTCAGGATTCCATCAAAGATCTCTGATTTTCCTTTGTAGAAACGAACTCTCTGGTCTCCGAACACAGCATGCCACCCAGCAATGTCCATTTTGCTAATTGACAAGAGATTGGCGGTGATGTCGGGTGCATGAAGAGCATCACGAAAGGTTAAGGTATGTTCCACATTATTGAACACCACCTTGATCTCAACGTCGCCTCCCCCCAGTATCGAGAAACTCGTGCCTTCCTTAGAGGACTGTCCGGCCATCCTCTCCAAAGGTTTATACGTTGAGAATATGTCTCGACTTTTGAAGAAGTGTGTAGTACACCCTGAATCCGCAAATGAACACGAGGAAATGGAAGGTAAGACTTGGCTAGCGGCTAAGGCGACCTTCTGAAGGACTGATTCATTTTCCTCCAGGAGTTTAGCGACATCGTCATTGAACATAGCCAATAAGGCAAAGTGTCCACCAGTATTAATTGTACCATCAATGTCGAGGACGAGGATGCTAAGTTGCA